AGAGAGAGAGAGAGAGAGAGAGAGAGAGAGAGAGAGAGAGAGAGAGAGAGAGAGAGAGAGAGAGAGAGAGAGAGAGAGAGAGAGTATTGTCCAACAAAAAGCCTTTGCATTCATTGTTGTTTTGTGTGACGAACAGAACATTGTGTTGAGTCTATGAGTCCAACGAAATGACAAATTTGTTTCCGTCGGCGTATCTCTCACTCACTCACACACTCTCTCCCACTCTATCACTAGTTGTCTATAAAGTTAGTTCAGTCTTTGGCTTCACTCTAAATACTGTTCACAATTGACATTACATTAACTGAACTAATATTCAGACAATGGAAGACAACATAAGACAAGACACGCCAACAGATATTTAATAGAGAATTAAATAACAAATTAAGATAAAAAATAGCAGAAAAAGAAACGAAACAAACAATAAATTGTCACAATAGAGGACAACAATAGGCGTAAAAGTTATCAGAGTTTCAATTAATTATTAGTTCTTCAGATCAGTTGAAATTGTTTTCATTTTCATTACTTCCTAATTGATGTCATTTAGAGAATCCATTTTTTCACCAAAAAACAAGTTTCTTTAGCTTTTCGGCTAATAAAACATATTTTTTCTTTTACTCCTCTTTTGTTTCACTTTTAACACAAAGAGATTGTCTTAACTTCAAATAAATCGCTCAGATTTTAATTTAATTTTTATCATGATTAAAGCATATAAAACAAAGATGAAATATATAAAAATTATTATCCTAGGTCAAATTTTAAAAATTTTAATATTTATTTTTAAAAAATTTTCTATCGTTCAAATGCGTTCTACATATGTTCTATTTTCTATTTTTATAAAAATTAATTAATTGTCAAAAAACTCGGTATTATCAAAAAAATCTCAAGAGTTTCTCTTCAGATTCTGTTGTAGCATTAGTAAAGCTTCAAAAAATACCCTAGTTTAATATTGAGATTAATTTTTATAAAAATTAATTAATTGTCAAAAAACTCGGTATTATCAAAAAAATCTCAAGAGTTTCTCTTCAGATTCTGTTGTAGCATTAGTAAAGCTTCAAAAAATACCCTAGTTTAATATTGAGATTCCGTTGATAAAGTACTCTAATTACTGTTTGAAACTTTTAATAGTTGTTTTCCATTCATTATTCATTAGTTATAGTAGTATTTAATTGTATTTTTAATTGTTATTCAAACACTTGTTCAGGCTGTGAAAGAATTTTTTAATTATCTCATATAGTTTTCGAGATAATCACATCCATAGTTTGATGATGAAATATGATCCTGTTCAAAAATGTTCAGAGTCTAGAAAATAATTTTTACATATTTTGCTATTGAATCACCGACAGAATATTTTGCAAACATCCTTGTTTGAATTTATTGATATCAATTTCAGAGTAAGACAAGCTCTTTTTTTCCTTTGATTAATACTGAAAAATCATTTTTCCCTTTCATATAATATATTGTTTATTAATGAGATTATAGTTAAGAGCCGAAAATCTCTATTTAATTCTTTGTATTATATTATTTTCTTTGTGGGTTTTAATAGTTTTGTGACACAAATTATTTGTTGCCTTATATTGTCATACAATACAATTGAAGCCAAAAGTTAAAGTGTAGGAGAAATTGGAGCGAAGAATAATAGAAAAATAATATATAGAAATACACAGAAAAACATCATTTATTACTCGAAACACTAAATGCTATTAATTTTGTCATTTGTTTAGACTTTTAGTTTTCTTGTCGTAAACTAACAATAATTTGTCAAACAATCATTCAATTCCTGTTTTTATTAATAATATATTTTACCACAAAAAAAACTTATCATTCAATAATAACTAAAGACTTTTGTGTTTTACACAACAATAACCAAATGTGATTAAGTTGTGTGAAAACAATTCACTTGTTATGGCCTAATATTAATCAATTTGAATTAAAATGAAAATTTCTCACAACAAATAATTTAATGCTATTTTATTGATATAATAATTATTGTTAGATTTTAATTGAAAACTTTTACAATTAATCACAAAATGATTGTGAAATCTTAGCCATTGAAAGCTTATATGAGCTCATATACTGCTGTATAGTAGGACATAAGTTATGTCATAAAGACATTTGTAGGTAAATAATGTTTCTCATAGCAAGGTTTCACATTTGGTGTCTACATAAAAATTATTAATTTTTTATTCTCAATGTTTTTTAACAAGTATTTTTAATTTAATTTAAAAAACTTTGTTACCATATTGATATATCTGATAAAATTATATAAATTTTATTTATTTTATACAATTTGTTACTACCTAAAAGTTGAGTTCCAATGATGAGTTGATTACCTAGAAGTTCGACAGTAATTAATTTTAATTAATGAAAAGAATACTTTAACCAAAAGAAATATTTTTTCAAATAATTTAAATGACAATTAGTTGTGATAAGTGTGCCATTCAAGCAATCATAGCATTATAATGTGTAGTAAAGCTTAACGATATACAAAATTCACCAATTATTACCTAACTTTTAAAACTAATTAATAAAAGCAGTAAGTTACATTTATTATTAGTTATTTATTACAATATTATTAGGCGTTTTGATAAAGATGTTACCAATGTTTATTATAAGTTAGAATTTATAACTTTATAAAATTTGCTTAAATGTTGTACCATTCATTTAAATATTATTAATCTCATATATTAAACTTATTGCTATAACACTATACTATCTTAATTTTGCTTGAATTAAGATTAATTTAATACAATTAACAAATGGCGTAATTAAAGCAACAAATTAATACATTGGCATCAAATCTTCAACCAATCTGTTTGTCACACATTTTTCTAGTTTCCAAAAATGACAATTTTGTGTATTCAATAAAATGTTGAATTGAGTGCTAAACTCTAGTGTTCAACAATTTAACTAATTCTAAACTTATTTCAATTATAAAACACTTTTACTGTTAGTGTATTTAATACACTGTATTATCTAATGTAAGCAAATTTTAATTATAATTACTGTAAACTCTGATACTATGCAGTATAACTTATACTAAATCAATTTTGTTTAAAACAATTTGCTTTACTAGAAAAGAATGCATATACCGTACATTACAAGTTTATTACAAAAGTTAACAAATTAGACATGATCTAATAAATATGCGCAAATAATTTAACTTAAATTTAAATACAAACTATGGTGATGTATGGGCACAACCGTATTTATCTACTTTAGTTGACCAACACTTATTATCCAATTAGGTTCATACGTCTCCACTCTATGAATGTATTTGTGTGCGGTTTTTACAAAATAATACAATAAGTTGTTCACAACTCGTTATTAATTATTGTAATTTGTATTAAATTTTAATTATATTATAAAATAAAATACAATCCGTTGAATACAACTTATATTAAGATGAATTGTCAATTACATGTCTTTACATATTTATTATTGATATTTTAATAGTGTAGTTATATTAAAATTATTTGTAGAACAGTATTATATTAAATACATTATGATTATATGAAAACAATAGTACATTAGGATTATTATAAAGTAATGATATCTGATAGTAATTAGTTATAAAAACCTCAAATTAAAAGTCAAACCAATTAAAAATGTAAGAAATAAAAAACAAATATTAATTATAAGTTATAACACATTAGAGTTAAAGTCATGGAAATACAAATGATTTGAAAGAAACACTTTTGGTGTAAGAAATACAAAAGCAAACAAATATTGGATACATTTATTTGTTGGCTTTGATTGGCTTTCGAGCGGAACGTCTGGTCCCGCGTTTGGACTTCTTTTTGGTGCCGCGCGTGTCCTCACTGTCCTCAATGTCGTCAGTGATTTCCTCTTTGCATGTCTTGAGCCGATTATTGCGTTCTTTTCCTCTCTTAAGCGATCCAATGATATCTTCGGTCCACAAAATGCTGTTATCGTTCTCCGCCTTATCCCTGGCTTTGATAGCCTTCCTCTTGACGCTCGCTTTGAGATCATTTTGGTCCACATTATTGGCCGAGTCTTCGCCTTCCTGTCTAACTGCGGCCCAAATGGATGGCCGACCCCTAGTCTTAGTGTCGCGGCCACTGATCTTGAAGTCGTGGACCAATTTGTCCAGATTTGCCATCGAATCCTTCCACAAGTCATGGTTAATGATATTAGGCTTGTCTTCAATCGGATGTTCGGATCCGTTAAACGCTTTCTCTTTATACTCAACGAAGAGATTGTGATTTTCCTCAATGGGTTTGAAACGACTTTCGAGTGATTTCTTGAGATCATTGATAGCCTTATCGGTGGAAGACTTGAAGCCTTGGAAGTGATGATTGTTTGAACGCGTATTCGACGGACCGCTGCATTGGTATCGAAAGAAGACAAAGTGGACACCAGTTGTCAGCAGTTTATACCAAACGTAGACCACATCCAGAATACGATTGGCTTTGCATTTGGCGACGAACTCGCGAATGATCTTCAACTGATCCAAAGTGATCCTCACTTTAATGTCGAATCGAGTTTTGAGCGTTTGATCCAACGGTTGCTTCACGTATAGGGCGTACAACAGATATAGGGAACCGATTCGCTGACACAGCGGTCGCTCGCGATTAACCAATTGTGACAACACTTCCAGAAAAATCTCGTCAATGAATTCGTGCATTTCGTTGTCGTTGTGTCGACCACTGCAACGAAGAGTCACCGCAATTGGTCTCAATTATTGTCTCAAACAAAACAGTCATTTACCGGAAGATAAGACTGAAACTCATGTCTCGGAAGCATTGACTGAAGACAATGAATTTGGTTGAGTTCTTCGACTCAAACTTAGCCAATAGTGTCTCCATATCTGTCCGAAATCCTGACGCCGAGTGTATAGTCATTGCCATAGTCTTCACGGTTTCCTTCGGTGCCGCTGCCATCGGATCCAATGTCTTGGGATGTGGTAACACGTGTTGCACACAAATCGATGTCTCAGACAATGCTTTCAATCAAACGGTTATTCAATTATTACAGCCTTTTGTCAATCGTTTGCAAATCCTTTCAAACCCTTTCATATATACTGTACTCACAATTAGGGGACAAACAATGTCTCAACCCTTTCATGCAATTTACAAATTAATTACTGTTAAATGCAATTCAAATCGTATTTATTCATCATATTTGTTAATAATCATGTGGGTCAACATTTAATTAACATTTTGTTTTGTCTCATCTATCGATTATATGTTTGATATATTTTTAAAATTATTAAATTAAATATATTTTCTTAATAATAAATTATTTGGAAATTAATTCAATAAAATTTCTGAGAAAAAGTAAAATAAATGAAAAATAATTCATGAGATTAATGGAGAGAAATGGAGAGAATCGTAATCATAATAGCATTGCAACGATGTGTTGGACTCTTGACCACAGTTTATATCAACGTTTGTGTCCATAGAGTCGGGCATTGAATAGAGTCGAGACCTCATCGGCCACTTCTGTCCGTCAAAAACAATCGTATCATTAATCAAGTGTTTGTTCACAAATGCTTTTTACCACATGTAATGTTAAGTCAGATAAAAAAGTATACCATTGAACTAATTAATGACTTTTTCACTTTTGTATTTTTGATACAGATCTGGCGTTTAATTTAATTATACAGTAAATTTATATTTATGTGAAATACCCGAAAAAAAATTAATATAAATTATAGAATTTTCCTATAATGTTACCATAATTGTGTCATACAAATGTGAGTTATGTATATCAAAGTAATTGCATAATAATCTATAAATAATATGTATTTTATAATGATTGCATTGTGGGAAAATCACATAAAAAGATTATGATAATCTCTGATAGCCTATCAAAGATAGACACAAAACTAGTCGACAGTAAAGCTTAAGGTAGAGTACAATTCATGCTAAAACATCAAACAAGGTCATTTTGCTTTCAACTTACTTTGATTGGATGTAAAAATTTGAGATCACATTTGAATGCAATGTCTGCGTTGAGACCCGAGTCTTGAGTGGTCACCAATTTAGTGAGATATGAGATGTAATTTGTGGCCAAAATAAGTACATCTAGTTTGGAAAGTTTGGTGTTTGGAGGCACTGATGGCAGACAGAGCTGAAGCCGTTGGAAGGCCTGCCGTAAACACTTCACACGACTTCTCTCTCTTTCGGCATTTTTTGCTGTGAATGTTGTCTTCAGCTTAAAGTCTGTGATAAATATAAGATTATTATAATATTAATGTATATTTACATGAATCTCAAACAAACTCGAAGTTTTCATCTTTGGACGATATTTTTTCCTTTCAAAATGTTTTCTGTTGACCACTCTTTCCATAATCCAAAAGAATGCTAACAAATAATTGCTATTTATTGTCACACAAATGTAAAAACGCCCAAAACATAAGTTAAAAATATTTTTATCATAAAAATTATGTATAATTAATCATTTGTTTCTAAAGACAAAACATTTGTAATTTAAGAATTGTATAAAACAAACATTTAAAAGTGCAAAAAAAATGTTATACTGTATATCCATTTCATCGAGTAGTGTATAGACGGGGGAGACGTAAGTTAATTATCTGCAAAAGTATCAAATTTCCTTCAATTGTGGATTATTTTCGCACAAAATGTTTGAATAATTTCAGTGAAATAAGAGGTTGTGCTAAGTTAGGCATTGTTAACAATAATTCATATTTTTTGCGTAAAATTTAGACTATTATTAGTTTTATTAAAAATTGTTAAGTATTTTTATTTTTAAAAAATTCAAATATTTATAAAATTACAATAAACTAATTGTTATGAAAATAACGTTAATTTGTTTGAAAATTGGCCAAAAGAGCGCAAACACTGGCCTTTTTGACGACAAATACATTGAATTTCAAAGACAAATGACAGGACCAAAAGCATTGATCGACTCAAAACACATTAACACAAAACCAGATTTGCTGGTCAAAGGAAGGCTAACACAAATCAAAGCGCATAGAATCAGCTTCTTCTGCATCAGCCCTTACTTCCAGAGGTTTTTCAAACATAATCCGCAGCCAAACATTGATGGCTACTATGAGGTGACGCTGAGAGACGTGTCCACTCCAACCCTCAGCCAGATCTGCAACTATTCGTCGGTTGGAGTGGTGGACATCGATGAGCACAATGTCTTTGAGTTACTATCGACAGCCGATGAGTACAACATTAAAGGTATCATCAATTTGTGCAAACAGTTTCTGTCGTCCAAAATAAATCGCAACAATTGTTTCGATATCTATATATCGGCTCATTATTTCAATTGCGAAGACCTCAAGGAATCGGTGGTCGACTATATTTTGGTCAATAATCTGATCCCAAACAGTGCCGAGAAATCGTGTCCGGAATTGACTATCGATCTAATTATAGACATTTGGCGCAAACAAAATATTCAATAAAATGCATATTAAAACATGGTTTTTATGTTTTTTATATATTAATTCACCGGCACGTTTTCATTAGAAATATAAACCAATGTGTGCCTATGTGCAATTGTCATATAAATAATACTTTATTTTTAACACTAAACTATTAAAAAATTGTTTACCATTTTTAAATTTGTAAATTAAAACACAGTTTAATTTATTATTTCGTGGAAACTCTCCAACTATTCTGTTTGACTTTTGCCGATATTTAGTCACTGGGTTTTATATCAATAAAATATTGTCAAATTGTCCTCAAAATGGTTTGCCTTTTCATATAAAAACAGGATTAATGCATATTTATTGGAAAAATATCAAACATGGTGGTATATTTGAAGGCAATTTAAAATAATCTTATAGGTTAGCCAAATCACAAGTGTTGTGTATTTTAATTTCGCGTAATTTTATTTATTACCGTATGACTTAATGTCTTTTGTCCATTCATATTGTTTTTTATAGAATTTCCCAGTTTTATATATAAATTACAATAAATTTCTTATTGTGAATCTTTTACAATAACGTTAATTATAATTATTATATTCATAATTCCTTATTCCAACTATTATTAGTACAATAGAGAAGATTCAAAGGCATAATTATTTGAAAGTATTCCGCAAAACTTCCACAATCTTTACACAAAATAAGTTCCGAGAATTTCCATTTATTATCATTAGTACCATCTCTTAGTAGATGTTATTTAAGATTGTAATTAAAAAATAAAATTATAAAATAAAAATTCAATATTATTTAAATTCATTTACAAATTTATATAACATTAATTTAAAAAATGACATACAAATGTATAATTTATGCAATATTATATAAATACATATTTTAACTTGCATTATAATTTCAATTAAATATTGATATAATTTTATATGTAACAAATTATCAAATAAATCATTATAAATTAAAGTTATACTGGACTGCCATTAAGACAATACTGTATTACTTCATTGTGATTTTACCAATCACAAAGATTCCCAGTCAAATTATCTGAATACTAATATTACTATTATTTGCACTAATATATGCAATCATAATTGTAATTGTACTCTATTACAGACTCTATTTAAAAATATATAAATAATATTTTATAATAATGATTATTATAATTATCATAATTAATAAGGACTTTGAATAAGTGTTAATAGTTCCTTTAATTGACGACAATTATAATGATAAAAAATACAACAAAACTTGAACACAAGACAAGCATAATCACAAGAATTTTGATATTATTAATACTATAGTATAAATATTATAATATTAATTAAACATATTATTAAAATATAAATAACTTCAATAAACATTATATATGAGCTCAAAGTCTAATTGTATACTCCTTGAGTACAGTGTTCATGAATTTAAGTTCGCTCAAAACTAAACATAATTGTATCTCATTTATATTAATAGAATTTTAATTATATAAGATATATTGTTTACAGTAATTTATGCCAATTAATTAAAAATATAAATAACTCAAAGACTCAAAATATATATAAAATTCTGTAACAAAGACAGAGAATGTCATTGAAAATACAAATACAATATACGTATGTTTACAGTAAATATCAAGGACTAACTTAACAATTAAGTGTATTTTTTTATTTGAATAGTCCGTACGACACACGAGATTGAGAGTACATACGAACTCAATAGTTCTGCCCATAGAGTTGTTTAACAAGTTTTTTGCCGTAAAAACTATATAAATATATTATCTAAATATTTTATTAGAAATTAGTTTAATAAGTAATTCCACGGCATAACAACATCTCGTAAAATAAGTCCAAAAATGTATATTTCACAGAAATATCCAATTATTTCATTAAATTTATTATTAAAAACTATGACAACAATTGTTTGTTAAACTACAATATAATGTATATAAGTTGTGTTTGATAAAGAGATTGTCATTCAATTGCTATTTTCAAACAAAGCGACTCATAGTGTGGTTGGGATTGGAGTGGGGTTTGAGAGCTTGGATTCCCCAAAAGGTTTTTACCTCAAACTCCAGACTATTGCGCAAAACTCGTGAATTGGCATCAATTTTGTACTTAATTTTTTGCCAAACGGTATATATATTATACTATTAGTGAATTTCACGAGAGTTTAAGATCATTAACGATTGAAAAAGGCGATGAGTTCAATGAGTTTAATAATAAGTGATTAACTTATTACCTAATGTTGAGAAACTTGTCTACAAATATTGTGCAAAATATATATCAATTTTAATGAAAAAGATGCGAAAATTGCATATCGTTTTGGTTTTAATGATTGTTAGTTCGTGTTTAGCATCAATTGAAGGCAACAAGAAGTTGGTCCGACTCTGCTATTGGACGGCTTGCAGTCAATCTCATCCACACAAGTCGTGTCCAAACAATTTGGTTGAGTCCGCGTCCAGAAAGTGCCGAATCAAAGGAACGGGTCGTTTGGGTCGATATCAGAAATGTTGTATTTACGAAGACTATACGTAACCATAATTATACATACTTTAAACACTAATTATTTATTATTAAATTATCTATAGTTCCTAATCATTTGTTTATTATATTATCACATATTATTACAAATCGTTTAGTTTTTATAATATTTTATTTTTTAATAATTTTTAAAATACAGTACTATATATTTACTATATTTATGTACTAACTATTTATGTACTAGTTACTAACTATTTATGTACTAGTTATATACTATATATTTATTGTATTATTGTACTAACTTAGATCATGTTTAGTGTAAATCATTTTTTCATTGAATAAATATTTGAAATATTGTTGAAAAGAAAGTAAACTTGTGAGATTTTTTATTAACATAAGGGGACGTCGCATAGTACGTTCGCACTTTTTCAGAAATCTGCCTTTCTGAAATCTGATCTCCCCCCTTATGTTCGCAATTGTTCGCATGCAGCCATTCCCATGTCCCTAACCTTTTACCCACCCCTAAGAAATATATCAGAAAATAAAACTATTTCTACTAAAAAGTCATATATTTATTCAAAATTTGTTATATATTTGTCAGATATCAAGCCGTTATTAAAAGATTAACTTTGATAAAAATTAATTACATAAACTCCTTAAATTGATAAATTCAAACTTCTTCAGGGCTCTACCCATCCCTTCCCCCTCGTGTGTAAATGTTAGCTTTGTCTTCCACCCCCTCCCCCTAAGTGCGAACGTAATATGAGAACGTCCCTAACACGGGCAACATAAATATGTGGGAAAGTCCTTCATGTCATTAACAAAAAGAAGGTTTAATTTCTATGAAATTATGCTTTGAATTCATATCAAGCGTAAGGTATGTCACAAATGGTTGAAACTCGGATGTCCGCTATTGCCATACTTTATATTTAAAATTTTCATTTAATGACTCTTCAATAAAATAGCATTTGCCAAACAATTGATTGTTTTTCAATATATGGATATTATTTTCATTATTATAGATAATTAGAGGTTATTTATTGAGCCGAGATTCCTATACTCTGTTAAATATTTATTAAATAAAATATAAAATATTTATGAATTATTCTCTATTTTCGATACGAATGTAAGTAAATAGATATATTTGAATGACAATTGGCTGTAAATGTATTGTTAATGAATGTCAACCATTCAGTTATTATTAAAATATAAAAATAATAAATAAATAATAAAGGAGTCGTTAATCAATAATAATAAATGCAGATTGAAATTGAAATAATTTCGTTTTAAGACAATAGCACTTTTGTGAACACTTCAAACAATTGATTGAATGATTAATATTATTATTAAAAGTAAAAGTATTGTCTGCACTGTATTTTAAATAAACTAAATATTGGTTTTTTTGATGAAATACTTTATAATTACATATTTTTACTTATAAAAATGATGTCAACATATTTTTAATATTTTAGTAATTAACAGTAATGTTTGAGTGGTTAAGTCTTTACAGTAGCATAAGAGTACTTAAACATTATAATTATAATTGGCGTATTTGAAACTAATTGAATTAAAAAACTAAAATTCTTAAAATAGATCACTTATGCAATATTTCACAGAATTTTTAATTTCTCTTAAAATGAATTTATCGACAGAAAAAACTAAATTTAAAAAACATTTGAGTTGCCGTACAGTATTGTAAATTAATTGTATTATGTGTAATTTATGTTGTAATATAAATATTTGCGGCACAAAACAATTATTGCTAAATTACTGTAGAATTTAGATTTATAACAAAATAATAAATGCATTCAACACAAAATAAGAACAATTTAATTGATGTTTTTAAGTTTTGTCTTAGACGTGCATTAACCTTGGTAAAATTAATAAAAATTTACTTAATTATGTTTTAATTGTCACAAACTTTATGATATACATTTATAATAAAACTCATTTTTATGTATTTGTACAAGGGCATACATTATAGAAAGACAATTTTAGTATAAAAGAGTAATTATTAGTAATAAAAAATTTATAAGTCTATATAAAATAGTTAAATATAAAAACTCTAATATTCATTGTAATTTATAAACTATAGACTATAATAGTTATAAATAACCATAATACTTAAATACTTTGGTTATTTATTTTTATCAAAAGTATTGTAAAATCATATACAGTACGCTGTTTTTTAACCACAATTTAGTATGAATAATGTGGTTCATTCAACTAGCTATACCCCGCTCTATGGGATTCCAGCTTAAGCTTATGGCTATACTTTAGCATGATACATTTTAACTTTAACATTATAAATGTATGTCATACTTTAACAATGCTAAGTCTATGATAATGCTAAGTCTATAGGACTTATATTAAATCTATGGATAATGCTAATCAATTCTTCGAGCATTACCCGAAATTATGGCCAACGCTTAGCATCATGTATAATTCTTGTTTCTATATTGTGATCTGTATATCTATATATCAATTCAGTTCTTAAGTCTCATTCATTTATTCTATCAATTGATAAAATAGTTGTTATGTTTTTATTATTTACTCTGTTTATTGAACAGTGTTTAACATGTACATAAAATTTATTAAGATATCATTGAGTATCAGAATATACACGCGACGAAAATAGAGTCAATTAAAACAATAAAAAATGAAAAATGCATAAAAATTTTTAATGTCATTAAAATTAATATTATCATTACATTAATTTATATAATCTTTCCAAATATTGTAAATATTAATAAATAGTTTTATAATTTTTCATAAACATTTATTAAAATTCAACTTTATTTTAATGTTTATAATTATTTAATTGTTAAATACAAATAAAAGTACAGTATATTTAAATTTAGAATTAGACAAAAATAAGTAATTATTAAATTTACAAATAAAAAAGGTGAGTATTTTTAATTGAATGATGTAATAAATTTAGAGTAACTTCATTGAAAATAATATTTTAATTTGTTTTATTTCTGTATACTGTAGACTGAAAAACATAATAATTATATGACAAAATAGCAGGTTATTTTGTGGTAAATAGTTACATTTAGCCATATATTACACTAGAGTCTAAAGTCATATATCCAAGGATAGTTTTTATAGCATCAATGTACAATTATTCTTTAACGTAATATCATTGACAACATGACAAACTAAAAATGTAATTGAATTACGCACAGTAAACACACGTATAAAACATGATTTAATAAAATATGGTGAATGACATGATATGAATAAAATGGGAACGATTTAATTGTGATAATTTTGTGTCATAGAAAGCGGCACTTTATTGATTGCGATCAGCATTCAGAGCACATCCCAGTTGTTATAACTCATGCGCTTCTGTCATGTCTTAAAAGCATGACATTCAGCGAACACTGGATTCCAAGTTGGCATCAATTCTGTGCATTGCATCCACTCTTCAATGTTTTTGTATTTTTCTTTTTGTTTCAAAACATTTCATTTTTAAAAATCAGTTTTATGTCCAGAATATATAATTTACATGTAATTCTTGAACAATGCTTTGCTAATTAAATAAATATATTGTATTCAGCGATGTATTTGTTGAAAATTCTATAATTTGTTATATTATTATAGAATATTAGTGCAAGAATTTAAATGAATTTGCCATTTATTAAATTAAAACATTTTAATTTTCAAATATTTGATTTAATCAAATACATCAATAATATATTTAACTGGTAGTCTAGTTTTAATACAACCAGTGTATTATATTTTGTATGGCATAATATTGTTTTTATACTGTATTTGTAGATAATAATTTAGGTAAGTACTGTAGATATTTTCTACATTTATAATTTTTTTTATAAACATCACTGATTTAAATAATGTTTTAATAATACTTTTCTTTTGCATCCTTTTAGGAATAATAAATATCTATATATTCTGTGTTTTATTTGAGCGACAATTTTATAAATGTAATGAATTGATGTTATCAAAGATATTATACACAAAATCATATTAATATTGTATTAGAAAAATGTCGTTGTTTTATATAATGAAATCATTGAGAACTTTACGAAAAATATGGAAAACATTAATTTTAATTGTGACCCCAATTGCTTTATTACCACTACTTGTTAATTTGGTAAGTATTTTGCCAATTTTACTTTAATATTATATAATAACAAATTGAGAATTTAATAATCATACAATCACTTCATAACTAAATCCTGTTTCATTATCATTGCTTTGATGTCAAACTAAGTTTGACATTAAATTTGATTGATTTAAAACAATAGAATACAAATACAATTACATTCAATTTTAGTGAATATAATTGTGTACATCCTTTACTTCATAATATTTTTCTGTAAATAACCACTAAAATTATTCAGCAAATATTCAATCAATAATAATTAATACATTTATAATGCATTTAAATGACTTTACATTAACTGATATATGCATATATTAATATTATAGATTGATATAAAAATTATGTTAATTAAGTAATTAAACTAATGTAACCAATTATTTTAGACACAGTATCAAAACGAATCAAAATGTGCTTATGTCTTGATATTGATGGCCATTTACTGGACCTTTGAACCCATTCCTCTGCCTATAACCGCTTTATTACCGGGTATTTATTATCTTGTCTACAAAATATATTGTATTACTAACAAAAAAAATATCTTATTTTTTATTGAATGAATTGTAATATTTATTTTTTTATGCATTCAATACATTTTAGTGATTTTGTTTCCTCTGTTGGGTTTGGCGACCACAGAGGAGGCGTGCGGTCCGTACCTCCAGGCGACGAATATGCTGTTTATGGCGAGTTTAATGGTTGCCATATCTATGGAGTGCAGTGGTCTTCACAAGAGGATTGCACTCAAAGTGTTGATGGTTGTCGGCAATGATATCCGCAGATTATTCGCTGGATTTATGTTTACGGCAATGTTTTTGGGCATTTGGATTATCAACACAGCGGCCACTGCTATGATTCTGCCCATCGCTGATGTCATCAGTAAAGAAATATTGACTGAAGAGGAATATAAGGATGATTTGCAGTTAAATGAAAGTCAAAGCGATGACAGGAATAATCACGACTTGAGTATTCAATGTATGCATTGTTTTTACTTTTGACAATTATTACTTATTTTGAATTTGCGTCAATCAATCTTAATATATTCTTAATAATCATTTATTATATTAGTTAATAAAGAGGATTATGTGGTAAAACAGAAAAACTCAAAACAATTAAAAAGTGCCAAAAATGACAAATTAAGAAGACTTTTATATATAAGTATTGCATATTCGGCCACAATTGGCGGTACAACTACTTTAACCAGCAATGGTCCCAATTTGGTGCTCAGATTTGTTTTAGACGAGTATGTTTTTAATTAATTTTTAAATAATTTATTTAAAATTAACAATTATTTATTTATTTCATAGTATATATAACGGTCTTCCGCCCGTCGATTACACCAATTGGTTACTCTTTTGTGTGACCGCAACTGTTATCACAATTATTATACTTTGGGTTGTATTTCGATGTGTTTATATGAGGTTTGCATTCAATTTAACAAATATGCTCATTACAAATGAATAATTCACAAAATTATGTAATTCGTAATTTCAAACAAAACAATTCTGTGATAGAATACGAATAGTCAGAAAATGTAACTTTAATACACTTTTAATAAAACAGGATTAAAGTATTTTTTACCACGTTTGTTTTGCTTTCCTTTATTATATTTTAATACATCTTTTTTGTGAACATAATATGTTTATTTGTTGTATTTCTGAATGCAAGTAATTATTACTTGGAATTTAACATTGTATTGACAATAATTGTACTTGCTAGAAGAGTTTCTTAACTATTTGAGAGATGTTTTGCTATCATTATTTATTTATTATGACTTTAATTGTATTTTAATATTTCTATAATTTAATATTAATTTCTATTTTTATAGGGAGGATGCAATCGCTCACATTACTAAAGCTCCAAAACATATCATACATGAGAAGTATCGAGAGTTGGGTTCAATTACTTTCCACGAAAGTGCAGTTTTATTTCTATTTATTTTACTTATTCTCCTATGGATGTTAAGAGACCCGCAATTCTTAAACGGTTGGGCGACTATCGTTGCCAACAACATGTAACTAATTATTCCAATATAATTATTATTGCTATTGAATTGAATACTTTTGCGCAAAATAATAGCAAACCAAAGGACGCGACGGCCGCTATCTTTATCGTGTTTTTGATGTTTTGCATTCCGGCCAACCCTATGGGCTCATACCCGGGACCGGCGCTACTTAACTGGCAAACGGTGGAGAAGAAGTTGGCCTGGGGCGTCATCATTCTTCGTGGCGGCGGCTTCTCGATGGCCGAAACCGCTGATGTAAGACATGTTTTACACTTTATTCAATATATGAGTATTTAATACATTATAATATAATGATTATATTACTAATAATAAAATTAAATAAATAAACAAATCAAATTGTTTGCATGAAATAACAGAAGAGTGGACTCACAAAACTAATCGGATCGCAATTGACTAATTTGGATGTAATATCATTGGTGGGAATCGTTATAATAATGTCTCTTTTAGCCACAATATTCACAGAATTGGCATCTAATTCAGCGATCGCTACAATATTTTTGCCAATTGCCGGACAATTGGTATATGTTTTCACTATAAATTTGCATTTAACTAAATTTACATATTATTGTAACAAATAGGCTGTAAATCTGCGAGAACCGGTGAATCCGTTGCTCCTAATGATTCCGATCACTCTTTCGTGTTCGTATGCATTTGTATTACCCGTCGGCACTCCGGCCAATGCTCTGGTCTTCAATCACGCAAAACTAGACTCAACTGATATGGTATTCAATTAATTCATAGTTATGTCAAACCAAACAAATTAATATATATTTAAATATTTGTGTTTTAGATCATTCCGGGCATAATGACAAAAATTATATGTTTGATTGTTATGCTAATTAATGTTTGGACAATCGGTGTACCGATGTTTGATTTAAGAAGTTTTCCCGATTGGGCACTAAATAATCAAACAATAACTACATAATCATTAAGAGTATTAGTGTTCAGCAAATGAATTATATATGATAAAGTAATATCTAATTATAATACAAAGTATAATTTTGTAATTTTTTATTTTCTTTTATATTATTGTTTTAAATAAATAATTTTGTTTAGTTTTGTATTTTTATCAAAGCATTAAACAATTTATTGTAATATAAGAAATCTTTGAATAATATTGAAATGTAATAATATATACAATTAGGATATCAAATGAATTTAATAACATTTTAAATAGTCATTTAAAACCAAATCTTTTATTGCCAATAGTTTTGTAATATTATTTGCCAATAATTATTATACCAATTGGTATACCAACGTCTTCAGTGTCTTCATCATCGGTTCCATTATCAGTGTAGTTGTCTTCTTCATCTTCATAAGTGGTAAATCGTGAAGACATTGTCGTAAGACTCGCACAATCGACCGATTCTTTCAACGAAAGTAACATAAAAATGGATAAAAATAATGTTATTTTAAAAACTGAATTCATTTTAAATTTCTTTTTAAAGAAACCAAACAAATAATGAAATTTAATAATTCGTGTTTCCCTTAAATAGTCGTTCATTTGGTTATATTTGAGAGATTTTATAACAAATGTACTTTTGATTACATTAATAACATGCAATATACTGTAAATAATGATGATAAATCCAGATAAAAATTTCATAGAAATTTATTTATTAATTCATTCAAATTTATAAAATCAAAGTAAAAATCATTTGATTCAACGAAAAGATTATTTTTATCAATAAAATCAACAAATGAACAAATATTTTGAATAAAAGAAAGTTACGTAAATAGATTATAATGGATTATTTAACCATTAATCAATAATTAAATAAAAGTTAATTCCAATAAAAAGTTAACAATCAATTGCGTAAATTGATTCAAATCGTAATGTTTTGCTAAACTATAATAAGTTTACATTAAAATATAATATTGATAAATTAATTACTATTTAGTTTTGCAATAATGCCATCAAATTAGTTTAAATTTTAATTGTAATTTATTAATAATATCATGATAATAATAATATTATTAATACAGCATTATATAGATATAACTAAAGCTTTATATTAATTATAATAGCAGCAGAATCTCATTGAATTCAAAATATAATAGTAGAGAATTCAATTGAAAAATATTATATCATAATTGTTGGGATGTTGGTAGATAATATATTACATATAATAAGGTACATTGTAGTAGAATACTGTATGTAACATTAGCAAAATATATAATAATATTTTATTTTACAAGATGATTATATAACTTCTTAAGTAATATGTAAGTTCAACTTACATAACACCACATGATAAATGTCTCTGATTTCAATCATGTGAAATATTCTCGTTTTACATTACATACATGTGTATACAGAGTGCCCATAAATGTTGGGAGGGCCACCCCTCACATAGTTTCAATGTTAATCAATGTAAAATATGGTTAAAGCCCGGATTCTGCCATACATTTATAGTATGTGTCTATTATTCTTAAAAAGTTTGTAAAAATATATTTAAAAGTTTAATATTTAAGGTTATTTAAGTTAAAATTGAAAACACTAACTTTGATAAAAATAAACTATAATTAATTGGTTGAAGAGTGAGGTTAACGAGACGTGAAGTGTTTGTAATGTCAGGCAATTAAGGGTTTTAATTAAATTCAAAAACATTTCAACTAATAAATTGAAATTCAAGTGATTTGAAGGTTAGTATTAGTGAAGCAATTAAGGCATGCATTGAATACAAAGTGTTGTCTATTAGAGAGTGAGTGGAGAGTAGAGTCGACTCAATAGGCGATCATAACTAGGGATGAAAATTTCACTGAAATTTTCATATGAACATTTCATTTAGGCTAAATTTTGAAATTTTGGGCTAAAGTTTCATAAAAATGTGAAAACTTCATATGTTTTACAACTATATACTTTTAATGTGGTGAAATATATACACATCACAATAATTAAAACATTTTCCATTTAAAATAATAACGAAAAATGTTTTGCGTTTTTTAATATTTCAAATTTAGTAAAGATTCTTGCAAATTCTGTTGTATATTCTGTGAATATTTTAATTAAAGTATTAATTCGAAAATTATGTACTATAAAATAACAATGAATTTACACCAAATAACGTATTCTGTTAAGTATTAAAATAAATTATATTTTGATAATAGTTGTTAATTTAGTTTAAATTACACAAATTAGTGATTTATTTAGTAAATAAGTACAATATAGATGTCGCTTAAATATGGTGGTTGAAAATTTAGCCTAAATGTTCAGCGAGACCCCTAAACGTTCCCTAAATTTAGCCCTAAACGTTCCCAAACTTTCACCACTAACATCTCTAATCATAACATTCATTACAAAACATGTGAACACAAAGTGTCACTCATTTACCACTCATTTGTCTCTCACATCACATCCAAAGAGCGGAACACATCTTACGATTGAAACATGTCTTCGGAAGCGTTCGGTGATGTAGTGATCGTCGGCTGCGGCATCGGTGGCCTCAGCGTCGCCTACCATCTGATGATGAATGACTTCGCCGGTCGTATCATCGTATTGGAGGCGCGACCCGTCATCGGCGGTCGCATCTCGTCGACGACCACCAAGTTTGAGAACCACCGCATCGAGATCGGCGCCAATTGGATCCATGGCATACTCGGCAATCCCATCTACGATCTCGCCCTCAGACACAGACTCATCGACCAATTGGCCCAAACTTCTGGCAAACACTTGGTTGAGGCCCGCGCTATGAATGGCGCCAAAGTGGACATCAATCTCTTGGAGGAGGTCTACCGGACGTACGTCTACTTCATGAAGAAGTGTGAGAACTATTTCCATATCGAGGACACGGACGGAGCCGTTCGCTACGACAACTCGATGGGCAAACTCTTGGAGGCGGACATCGATTCGTGGGTTAACAGTCTTAAGGATGTGGACACTGAGGGCAAGGAATTGCGAAAATGCATATTCAATACACTGTTGAATCGCGAGACATGTATTTCCGGCTGCAATAGTATGGATGAAATGAGTTTGAAGGACTTCGGCTCCTATTCAGAGCTGCCCGGAGGCAACACAACGATTCCTCTCGGCTTCAATCAAGTGCTCAACGCTTTGCTCAATGAGATCAACGAAAGAGTGGCCGCGAAGTCCAAGTTAGGCGACAAATCAAACCTAATGGACGGCAAACAGTTTAGTATTCTTAAGTCCCAGAGAGTGACCAAAATCAAGTGGAGAGACTTGACCGCCGACGGCAACACTCCCGCCAAAGTAGAGATACTCTGCGAAAACGGTTCCACTTATATATGCAATCACGTGGTCGTAACCGTACCGTTGGGTGTCTTAAAGCGGGAATCGTTGAATTTATTTGTGCCAAAACTACCGCAATATAAACTCGACGCCATTAAAGCGCTCGGCTTTGGCGCCGTCGACAAGATATTCCTCGAATACAGTTTACCGCTGAATAACTTCATTGACGTTAACGTCGACGAGACGATCGTCGTGTGGGACAAACAGAATCCGCCCAAATGTAAAGCCCTTCAGAAGATTTACTCCATCTCTAAGATCACGAACCACTTGTTGCTGATGTGGGCGTCTGGAGACGAGGCCATCCATTTGGAGACAATGGATGAACAACAGCTCAACGAAGAGTTAACGCAGTTATTGCAGCAGTTCTTCAACAATAAGAAGTTCCCGAAAGCCGATAACGTAATTATCACCCGATGGGCGACCGATCCGTACAGTTATGGCTCGTATTCATACATACCGACGGGCTCTTCGGTTCGCGACATTGAACTCCTATCTCAGCCCATATACGCCGACCCCTCCAGTGATAAGGTATTCAATTGCATAATTCAAACCCATTTTATCACTTTTTTGTTTTATCGCATGTTTTCAATACTGAACTCATTCTTTAATCTAATTTTATTTCTTGAAAAACTGTTTCAAAGCCATTCATTTATGGGTTTAATCGATTTCTTGACAAAAAACATAATTTTATTGACATTACTGTTAATACGATATAATTATCGATTAGAGAGAAATCTACTGATTTATAATAACAATAATGATTTGTTTATTGAATTGATAGCCAATAATGGTGTTCGCGGGTGAGGCGACGCACCCATCGTTTTATTCAACTGTGCATGGTGCTTTCCTCTCGGGCAAAAAGGCCGCCAACTATCTGCTCGACGCCACCGATGATAACGTCTCGCAGAACGAGATCTTCAATACAAGAATCGCATCCAAAATGTAAACTAAATAAACGGACGAACAAAATGCAAATATCACTAGAAATACTCGTTATAGAGATGACTTATTTTTTGCCAATTTATACACAGATTATATGTTTAAAAACACTTTTATATTTTTGTTGTAATTATAGTTTTATTATATTTTACGATCAGGTTTTCAAGAATCACTGCAAATATGTTGTAATTAATTGAAAACATTGTTATTGTTATTAATATTCTATTTGTTGCAACTTTTGAATGGTTAGCATTTAGTGGAAATAAAGATCAATTTGTTATGCATATTAATATATTGTATATATTACTGATTATATTTTATTCATTAAGTTATGCATTCAATTGAAATGTTATCTCCAAATACACAACGAAAATACATTTCAAATGAGTTAAAGGAAACTAATTTTTCTATTGAAAATCAATGCAAACTAGGATTGTTGTTGCGTTCAAATCCTAATTATTTTCGATTAATTTATACTGAAATTTAGATTATAGTTAGAAATTTTAATCGATTTCTGGTTTTAAACAAAAGTGAGTCAATTATTGTAAATCAATTTCTATCGTAAATGTTTCAAAATTTATTCAGTATAAAAATGATTGAATCTGTAAAAGATTCAAACAAATTACAATATATTATAAAATAAGAACTTTTCTTATATAAAAACAATTTTTGATAATTCTTTTTGTAATCAATTAACTTAAATCTGTTTTAATGAAAATATAAATCATGGTTGAGATGGGTTACACAATATGTCAATGAATGAACAGCTCATTAGATTTGCAAACAATAAAATAAGATGAATAAAGAGCCTATGGTTGAGAGGCTGTCAATAGTAGGTCTCGCGTTCAACCCAACCGCCGGGATAGCGGCGAATCAGATACCGTCGGGCCTCGTCGTAGATGAAGATGACAATAGCGAAGGGCACGCCTGGCATCCACCACATCACCTTCAATGGGTACATACGGAGCACTACATCCATTCCGGGACAGTAGCACAAGAAGGCGGCCACAACTGTCTCGAAGACGAGCGCAAAGTTGAGCACATGATTGTCCATTCCCTGCTGAACAATGGAGTTGCGCCGTGTCTTACAGATGATAAGGTCTGCCCATTGGGTCACTACAATCGACACAAAGAACGCCGTATGACACGTGAACTCAAGCGTTTTGCGCTGAATATACGTCCACTCCTGACCGTAAGAGTCGGTCAAGTCGTTCTCTCCTTTAGAGTCCCAGTGTTTGCGAAGACCGAGAAGTTTGTTAACGAGAAAACCGTTTTCAGCCATAATCACAAAGTATGTGAAGAAGCCGGCGGCCGCCTGTATCACTCCGATCTGGCCGTACGTCAGCGATATGAGCCTCTCATTCACCAGTCTATCGCGCTTCGGGTCCCGGGGTTTGCGTTGCATTATATCGCTCTCTGCCTTCTCGTAGGCCAGCGAAATGGCCGGAACCATATCTGTGCCCAAATCGATGCACAGTATTGTAATCGTTCCCAAAGGCAACGGAGTGCTGAATATGATAAAGATGAGGAATGGAGTGATTTCTGGTACGTTTGACGTCAATGTGTATGCAATCGATTTCTTCAAATTATCAAATATAAGCCGTCCTTCTTCTACACCCGTCACTATCGACGCGAAGTTGTCGTCCAATAGTATCATATCTGCCGCCTGTTTCGACACATCGGATCCGGTAATACCCATCGCCACACCAATGTCGGCCTTCTTAAGCGCCGGCGAGTCGTTCACACCATCGCCAGTGACGGCAACAATAGCGCCCTGTCGTTGACAGCCTTCTACTATAATGAGCTTCTGTTGCGGTGATGTCCGCGCGAACACAATCTCCGAGTGGTTTCTCAGCAAATCATCCAATTGTTCGGCAGTCATATCCTTCAAGTCTTGGCCGTGAATTACGGCCGCTTTGGCCGCCCGAGGGTTCACGTCTTTGGGATCTTTGTGCTGCCTTAAGGCCATGTCCTCTACAGTCTCTGTATCTGTCATATCAATCATACAAATATGTGTTAGCAGTGCTTTAAAAGCATTTAAAAGTGCAGCAAAAGTCATATGTGAACTCACCCTTTGAAATAATACCGACTGCTTTTGCAATTGCCTTCGCAGTGATGGGATGATCGCCGGTAACCATAATCACTTTAATGCCTGCGCTCCGGCATTTGGCCACAGCGTCCGGTACGGCAGCTCTGGGCGGGTCTATCATCGCCACTAATCCCACAAACCGGAGATTTTGAAGCGGAAAGTTGGGCTCTTCCATATTGAATGCAAACCCGTGCGGAAACTGATCGACCGGTAGTTTTAGATCACAAAAACCGATGACCCGTTCGCCCAGACCTCCCAACCGATTGTAAGCTGTAGTAAAGGCTTTCTTCATGTCCTCATCCAATGGCTTGTCGTCTCCGTTGATGAATATAGTGCCCGAGCGCTCCAGAATGCGTTCGGGCGCTCCTTTCATGCACAACAAATAGCTCCGGTCCTCTTCCGTCTCATGTATTGTCACGTGATATTTGTCGGTCGAGTTGAACGGGATTTCGCCCACTTTGGCATTTCTTTTGCGGACCTCCGATACCTTTCCCACAGCTATTTCCATACACTTGAGAATCGCTGATTCGGACGCATCGCCCGCACACTCACTGGCAATCAAATAAGCGGTTCAATCACATCGATTCAGTTTTAAATATTTTATAATTGCATTCAATACCGCTTAAGAATAGGGATGGAGTCCTGTCCGCCCTTAAACTCGGCGCGACTGCACAGACAACAGGCCCGACTCAATGCTAGCCAACCGGCAGACGTCTTATCTATCTGAACGCCAGTTTGTGTCTCAGTTGTGTCCACTTCCATGATATTGTTGTCAAACCACATGTGCGCGACTGTCATCCGGTTTTGGGTTAGAGTTCCTGTTTTGTCGCTACATATGGTGGACGTCGAGCCTAAAGTCTCCACCGCTTCCAAGTTCTTCACCAAACAGTTCTTACTGGCCATACGTTTGGCCGTAAGTGTCAGACATACGGTCACAGTTGCCAACAGTCCTGCAAAATCAAATGAAAGTTATCAAAACAGAATGATAAGAGTTGGCCACACCTTCGGGAACATTGGCCACAATAATGCCGATGAGAAAGATAACGGCGTCCAACCAATAGTAACCCATTGCCAGCGCAAGGATAAAGAAGGAAACGCCTAAAATGATGGCCACAACTGTAATGATGTGAATGAAGTGTCCGATTTCGCGCGATATCGGCGTCTCGTTCACTCTCAGACCGGAGGCCAAGTTCGCGATTCGGCCCATAATAGTGCGGTCGCCGGTATTGACCACAACCCCAACGGCCGTCCCTTCGACACAATTGGTCGAGAAAAAGGCCAAATTGCGGGTCTCGAGTGGGTTTTCGCTCGACTGTTCCGGTGAACGAGACTGTGGCTCGGCTTCACCAGTCAGTGAAGAGTTGTCTACTTTACAGGATTGGGCTAATAGAGTGGTAAACACATGTCAATTAAATAACAATCAATTTAATCGATAATACCCTTAACAACTCGAATATCGGCGGGAATTCTGTCGCCGGCCTTCACTTCGACGATATCGCCGACCACTACCTTCTCGGCAATTATGGTCACCTTTTGGCCGTCTCTAACCACTGACGCCTGTTGTGGAACCATATTCTTGAACGACTCCATTATAGCCGAAGACTTGGCCTCTTGATAGTAGGAGAAGCAACCGGTGATGACCACCACTCCCGCCAACACCACTCCTAAGTATAACTGCAGTGAAAAACAATTCAATTCATGTGTAGAGTTAAGGGCCAAATAGCGGACAGACATTATCGCGGGTCGAATCGCCCGAACCAAAGGCTTGTATGCCGTACGCGAAGAAGCAGAGGACGGATCCGCTCCACAACAAGAGCGCAAAGCCGCCAAACATTTGCCGACAGAATTTAATCCATTCGGGTGTCTGTTTGGGTGGTGTCAGAGCGTTGGGGCCATCCCTGGCCAACGCTTCTTTGGCCTGAGCGCTGGTCAGACCGGTGTCTACACTCTGGACACCATATCTGGCCAAAAGTTGATCCAAAGGAAGTGAATGGGCGTCTGTGTGGACCTCCTTCTTAAGCGCGTCCAACTCTTTGGCCTTCTTCTGCTCCGGTGTCTCCTTTGAGGTCTGAAATGAAGTGAATTGCATATAAATGATGGCAATGTATGAATGAAGTGATGATATGAGACCTGCTTTCTTATGATATCCATTTGTTATAGACATCAATGGTTTGCAAATTGAGACAAATGTCACTTCAAATCAATTGATTGTCAAATGAATGCAAATCTGAGACTAAATCGACTAAATCTCATACAATGTGTGAAACACTCAATCACTTGACGTTTGATTACTTTTATTACAGTTTTCACTACAACTCATACAACTGTTATCCGTTACTATTGTTGTGACAATTGATGTTATAATCAATTACTGCTTTATTAACACTTAAAAATTACTAACAATAAAAATACATATAATTTAATTAATAATTTGCTTATAATTGATACAATTGTATGAGTAATAAATCATTTTCTAACTTTATCTACAAATATTAATATCAAATAAAGACACTAAGTATACTAACTGTAAGTATACTAACAGAATATTCTGTAATATTCTGTAAAATGTGTTACAGAATCTAAAGTATAATTAAATAATAATAAATATGATTGAATCAATTTTGATTCATGGATGCATTTTAGACGTATCCATAGATCTGATGGGAAATCTCCTCTTTCTCTTCTCGGTCTGCGAGACGTCCATAAATAGGAGGAAAAACGATCCGATCATCAGAAGAGCCGAAAGAAATCCATCAAACGTTATGGTAAATAAATCCCAACAACTGAAACCCATAGCCGGACCACCGATTCTCTGGATATAAATCTGGAGCTGAGTCTTGAGGACGAGTGGCATCTGGTTCTGGGAAACAGCGTTCAGTACACTATACGGCGCGTGAATCTATTGATATACAGTATTATGTCGTTATATTAGATGTGCTTAAATGTCAATAATATAAGTGAATATTGCATTGAGTACCTCATCAGCGACAGCACCGGCAGAAAATGCTGTGAATACTAAACAGAAAGCGAGTCCAAAGATAGCGACGATTAGAACAATCTTAACCAATATAACTGCTTTCAAGAAGAGAATACATTGAATGAAGTAACAGATCGTAACGATATAGACCACAAAATCCAGGACCAGATAGTATTGCCAGAACTTGTTATATAAGGCCAACTCTTTAGCGTAACTGTTATGAGTTGTCATATAGTAATTGATTCTCTGATGCATAACCATTAGGTCCTGTTTCGGACTGTTTTCCAATCCTTTTGCCATTTCATTCAGTCGACGGAATTTAACCCAAAAATAATAGCAAATGACGTGAAAAAGACCCATAACTCCAAACTCTATGGATATGTTGTAATAAAGCCATATAATGGTAACAATACCCCAAAATAGTCCCCAAGAATAGAGATGCTCTTCCGGCCAATACTTAACGAATAGAAAGACAACTCCTGCCGACGACATCACAATTAAGACGCGAATCGCTGTTAGAATGACCGCCAGTGAAGACAACACTCTCTGCCAGAAATCTGAGGCTTCATCTAAACTCAATCCCAAATCTTGTGGTTTAGCCGCGCCTTTGCATAATTCAAAGGGTTGGAGCCATAATAGGTTTAGTTTGTCGTCATTTCGGGCGATATAGAAGAGTGTGGTCGAGAAAGCGCCGATCAATGACCACAAGATAAATACGAAATGATAGTCAAATTGCTGTCCCGGCAAATAGGCTGTGAAATCGCCAATCATTTCAGGGGATATCTTCATCTCCTCTGGCAGTACAGAGCAGGACAACCACTTGAGTAACATAAACCAGTGAAACGTTAATACTAGTAACTGATGGCCTCTCATCCAGACTGAGTCCTCCGCATACGAATTGATAGCAAATGGTTGTGAGAGAAGACCCATTGACATGAGATAAGCATCGACTGGAACTTTCTTTAGCTCCTCTATCGGCACTCTATTGGCATCGTCTCGACTCCCGGACAGCGATAGGATCCGCGAAACAAATTTAACTCTTGATCTGTAGGGCATCTCTCGTCTCAATCTCTTTACACTTTCAGTGATATTGAGACTAAAACATTCAATTGGCAACAAATATTAAAATCAACATGTTATTCATTTCACTTTAGCTTTATATTAAAATTATTGCATTAAAACAATTGAATCATTTTTAGGATTATGATTGAAAAACACGAATAATTGTCTTTTAAAAGTCATTAAATCTATGATAAATATACTTATGTGAAAAGTTTGAAGTTTTTCTACAATTTAATACATAATCAATTATATTATTGTTGTAATTTTTATTTGCTTAGCTTATAATGTTATTATAGTTTGTTCAGATAATGTAAAATTAGATATTTGTAATAATATATTTTAAAAGAAAAAATCTTATAAAATTTTGTAAAATAAATTTTTTAAATATTTTAATTAATTAAATTTTTAATTAATTAATTTCCACAATATTTCCATTTATCATTTAAATAGTGACAATAATTTAACTTGTTATAAATAATATTTATTAATTTCCTTAATATTTATATTTATAATAATATCAATACAGTGAACTTTCCATATAGTGGTCGAGCAGTTGGTATATATTTTTGGACACTGTATAGAATGTTCACTCTATAGAATGTGTGTGGAATAGTACTGACAATAAGTGTATATACTGTTAATACTAAAATAATCATTTATTTAGATTGTTTAATGTTATCGAGATAATAATTT